TGCTACAAGTAAATCAATAAGGCTAACTTACATTCGAAGACAAAAAATCAATTTCAAAAAATTCTTGCATGGAGTATCTAGAGGATGCTTTGACAAGCAGGTCTGCAGGACAGTGTGGAAACTGGAGAATGGAAGGTTCCTGATGTTGGTGGGAAGGGCATTGAAGAATAAATTTCAGAGAGCCTAGGCTTGCCATTTTATTTAAAATAATTATTACGGTCTTTTATAGGTGTTTTTTATTTTATTTTTTAGATGCCGCAGTGATTTTTGAAAGAAAAAAATCCACATCTACAACACGTTTTGTACAGTACATACTATACATTTTACAAAGAAAAATTTAACTACCGGTTTGGTAGGCCTCAAAAAGATGTATGTGGTCTATGTGAAGAGCTTGGAACCAAAATTAAGAGTAGCTCTCTTAATGACAATGCAAAAAGAGCAGCAGCTGCAGAAAAAATGGTGCACGTGAGGCGGTCCAAAAAGTTTTACTCAGCCTTGCAGGACATAACCAAAAAATGTGAAACTGAACCAGACACTTATGGTATTTGCGTGGACTATATGCAGAACTTACCGCTGCCTCATATCCCAGTCCAAGAAATATTTTACTATAGGCAGTTATGGGTTAATTGCTTCTGTGTATATGATTATGATTATGAGGGATATCTAATGACAGAAAGGTTCCCTTAAAACAGTATTTTCCAGTAAGAGGCCACAGCTTTCTCCCATGTGACCGGGTGTTTGGAGTCATAAAAAGAGCGCTGAGAAGAAAAGATAGGGTGTTTACACCAGAAGAATACTCGATAATGATTCGGGAGGCCTCGATAGGAAAAATAGAAACTATTTTGTTGACCGATAGTAAAAAAATCTTAGATTTTGACAAGTGGTTGCCACATTTTTTTAAAAAACAAGTGGCCTCCACAGAATCCATGAACCAGAAAACCAAAGATAGAAAAAAGTTAAAAATATCAGAGTTATATTACCTTGAAACGAGTGAAGGAAACATAGTGGGGAGTGAATTTATTGGAGGACTAGAAAGAAGTACATTTTATTTGAAAAAACCAAATGTTTCAAACATCCCACTTCCCACTGAAAAGGCATTCCAAGGCAAAAACCCCATCAATGTGAAAAAGATTGAGGATATCAAGAAAGTCTTAAAATACATACCTCAAGATGCAAAACCCTTCTATGAAGAAATTGTACTTTGGCCGACAGCAGTACAAGATGATGTGTGAACAAGTGGCCAACTCACTAACAGTACCATAGAACTTGTCCCCTTTTAGGTTTATTTAACAAGTTGTGTTTTTCTATCATTAAACCAGTTTAACTTTGAAATTCTGTGTTAAATAATCATTTTTTCCTGTGTTTATTGCAGAAAGGGCACATGTCCACAACATAAAAAAAATTATACAGGCTACACCGTACAACCTAAAAATATGAAACTTATGTATAATATGTATTTTATAATGGTCTTCCTGAGAAAGTATTCAAATTTCAAAAAAAAAATTTTTTTTTTTCGGGGAATTAGTTTTTTGTGTCTCCTGAAAAATTTTAAAAATGTGACATGTGCCCTTTCTCAAACAAACGATTCCAAATTATTTGGCTTCCGTAACAAGCACTCTACAATTGATCAGGTTCATCGAGTTACTAACGTGATTCATCAGGCTCTTGAAGAAAAAAAGTACTGTTGTGTAGTTTTCTTAGACGTTTACTTTACGTCTAACAAACGTCTACTTTACGTGGCTATCATCAAACCAATATGGATTTTTGGTATACAACTATGGGGTTGTAGTAGTAAGTCTAATATTGATGTTATTCAACGATGCCAAAATTTTGTTCTCCGTACCATCGTTTCAGCTTATCGGAATGATAGAAATGACATAATTCATCGTGATATGTTTTTATCAACAGTAGCAGAAGAAATTAAGAGATTAGCCCGCAAACATGAGGTTAGATTAACAAACCATAGTAACACAACAGCCATTAAATTTTTGGACAACTCTAAAGACATCAGACGCCTTATAAACCATATGACTTTAGTTTAATAAAGCCATTTTGTAGTTAGAAAAAAAAAAATTCGCAAGTGGATTTTCTTCAATGGTCACAATCAAAACAAAATCGATTGGACATCAAAGATGATGAGTGTTGCCCTGTCCAAGATTTCAAGAAAATAATTCTATCAAAACAACAACAAACCTCACACTAAAGTTAAAACTCTAAAATTTTAATAAACTCAAAACCAAAAAATCTCTATTATGTATCCACTATGTCAGTAACTACGTACGTTTTTTTTGAAGAAAGTCCGTGGTTATACATTTTACTTGAAAGGTTAAGAAACCTAAGATCTACTGTAATTAATTAATTTTAAATACATTTTATATTATAATCATCATTATTAATTCAGAATGATAATAAATTAATAAAATAAAGTAAAACTTTGTATATTTTGATTTATATTAAAATGTTCATAGGTTATTATAACCCTTTTTATTATAATTTTAAGTAGTTAGATAATTGAAAATATTATCTAGTTTTTTTTAGGTCCTAATTTCAAATTTTCATCTACTGCAAATCCGAGGTTGATGGGTGTATCGTTGTATGTTGCCTAATATAAAAGAGCAACAAACCAAAGTGGTGCTCACGCTTCCTTAATTATTTTCATTTCTCACATGTTACCTAAGATTTGATTTTGCAGTCTGTACCGACTTGAGAGGTTATAAGTTATTAAATTTCATTATTATAAACTTTAGTTTAATTGAATTTCATAATCAACCACTGTTACAACAAATCAATCGGAATTGAAACCACGGAAATCATTATTAATAAACAATAAGAAGGCAATATAGCAGTAAATAAATATGTGTTGCACACAAATTTTGTTCTCAGCTATCATGATAATTAAAACTCAATTTTTGAGATTTTTTTTTCACTCAATAGAACACACCTTATATATATATATATAAAAATTTCACATAGATTATGGCATGTAAGAAATCGTCATATCCACTTTTTATCTAATAAAAGTACTGCCAGTTTTCTTTCGAATACTATAGTAAATACATGTAAAATTACCAAAGAACCAGCTATAAAAACATTAGTTATGAAAAAAAAGACCCATATTAGTTTAATAATGATAAAACTAGTAAGTATGGGTTTTTTCATGTATGGAGTTAAGGAATCTAGCGTATTTCAAAGAGATACATCTGAACTTCAAGAAAAACTATCGAAATTTATCTTAAATTACTTAAAATTTAATTTAATTTCAAAAAAAGAAAAAGCACGTAGATTTCAATTTCAATTATTTTTAAACTTACTATAGGCCAGTCAACGAAGGAGTAATTTTAACAAATGGCGGAAAAATTCCCAACCAATTTTTTTTTTTTAAAAAGTTGAATTAAGATATGTATAATGACATACTAAAAGTCCTCATCGATTGGACTTGAGCTTTTATTTTTAAGCCTCGCAAAAGTTCAAAAATATGAGTTTTTTTAGTTTTCTTAAAAAATATTTAACTTACAAAAAAAAGTTTCGTACAAAAGTTGTTTAAAAAACAATTTTAAACAAAAAAGATAACCTATATTTTTTTATTTAAACAAATATTTTTCGAGTTACATTACATCTTAAAATGTCAAATAAAGTTATAACTGTATCTTCAATAACTTCTATTGTTAAAATTAATAATTAAAGTAAACCCACTGCTACTATTTCAACTAATCGCTATTTAAAAAAAAAAACCAGCAGTGTCCCGGCACAGTGTGTATAATTGGGTACAGTATCGATGATTAAAATCATTATCAAAAAACAACGCCTTGATGCAAATCTGTAGATAGTTTTTAATTTTTAAATTTTAATGGATTATTACCAAAACTACATGATCTCCTATTTCCTTATTTATATCCTAAATACAAGTTATATGCATTACTAGTGCAAAGTATGTAATCGATGGAGGATTTCTCCACTATAAAGTTATTTGACAAATGTATCAAACAAAATTTTTTTCCATTTTCTTATTCATTTTCCCATTCTAAATTTTGATAGAATATATCTTCAACAAAAGTACAATTTTCTTAATCTTCAATCTTTATTTCTATTGAATTTGTACACCATTGACCTATGCAATGTTCACATATAATAGAACATTTAAGCCCTGTTTTTCGGCAGCTACAATTTTTACCACCTCCAGTACCAGACTAAAGGTCGTTTTATGACAATTATCTTTATTATTAGCAGAAATTCCGGTGGCAATTGACATAATATAATTGTTGTTTGGGAATGTACAATTTAGCGTTTTGTTGGATTTAAATAATATAGCGTCAAATCAATTACTTACTCTATCGGTTGTATCTTAATATACACTACACTTTAATGATACTATAAATAAATAAACTCACACATACACACATATGCATTTATAACATTGTGTCTAATGTAAGTATAACATGATAAAAAATAACCGTAAAATGAAAAAAATTGGAAAATAAATTTTAGTACTCATATTATATGTAATGTAACTCGAAAAATATTTGTTTAAATGAAAAAATATAGGTTATCTATTTTGTTTAAAATTGTTTTTTAAACAACTTTTGTACGAAATTTTTTTTTGTAAGTTAAATATTTTTTGAAAAAATTAAAAAAGCTCATATTTTTGAACTTTGCGAGGCTGTAAAAAAAAAGCTCAAGTCCAATCGATGAGGATTTTTAGTATGACATTATACATATCTTAATTCAACTTTAAAAAAAAAAAAATTTGGTTGGGATTTTTTCCGCCATTTTTCCTTCGTTGACTGGCCTACTAATACAATACAAGATCTTAATATAAATTTTAATATTAGGACTTTAAATAGTGAGGACACAAACGTGTGACTTATTTAATTATAATAATTTTTTTCACAAAATATTAAACAATGAAATTGAAACAATAAGTTAATACGTGTTTAAAAAAAAATCACGTATAAATTGCATAGATAATTTAATGTTGGAACTTAATGATCTTAAAAACTTACTATGATCTTAATTGAATTTTTTTCTTTTAGATGATAATCAGAAATACTTTGAAATCATTGTGGAATGATTTTATGATTTTTACTGGTAACACAGTCTTAGTAAGTACACCAAATGTAATCAAAGCATTGCCTAAAATAAAGAAAAATAAATGTGAAGATACAGACAAAAAAGAATAATTTGTACATTTAATTATATCACACATAAAAAAGATTATTTGTTAAATAATTCTACATAAATTTTAATTAAATGATGATAAAATAATTTTTAACAATACTGTAATACAATAAAGTGCACAATTATTATACAGGATGATGTCCAACCAGGTTTTGACATCTCTAATAACCTTTGAGACAGCGAACATTATACGTTACTTTTTTTAAAAGTAATTTTTAATACTTTGTATTACATTATTAAAATAATAGTCACTATGGGTATATAAAAAGGTTTTTTCTGTATGTGCTTAGCCTTGATAATGGTAACATTGTTTCCAAAATACAAAGCTACGATTTTTTAGTAATTTTTTTTTGTGTCTTTAAGTTCAATATTTTTTATTTATTAATTAATAATATTTTTAATAAAGTTTTAATTTAAAATAATATTTTTATAATTTAACAAGAATAACTAATTTTAACTTTAAAATTTCTAAATAGTCAGTTTTAGCTTTTTACTTACAAAAAATTGTGATGGATGATCACTTTAGGATAAGTACTTATTGAGCTATTATATAAGCTATTTTACTAACGGTACTTTATATCGTTCAATAATATTATATATATATATTTTAGCTTCGATGCGAAGCTGAGAAGGTATTGGTTTTCTATGATGTGTTTTTTTTTTGTCTGTTACCACTTTTTCTCAGCTCTCACCGAACCGATTTCTTTCAACGATACGTCAAAAGATCACAAATCGTATCTAGTCGAAGACATTTCCCTCAAAAATTGAAAAATTTCCCTCGTTCCCCGTAAATGGGGGAACCCTCCAAAAAAATTAAAAATTTAAAAATCGCTAATTTTCGAACATTTTTCAATTATTTTTACTAAAAACTAACATAACTTTTTTAAAAATGAACATATCAATATAATTTTTTTTATAGATGCTTGATGTCTTTACCTATCATTTGGTATATTATTTTCATAAGTAACCCTTTACCTGCCCACAGGGGGGATTTAAAATGGCTACTTTTTCACAAACAATTTACTTTTACACCTTATAAAGTGTTCCGGAAATTCTGACACTTTTATATATATCTTAAATTAAAGATAATGTATTGTACTTTATTATAAAAAAAATTTCGTACTTTATTTTATCTTCACGGTGAAAATGGCTACCAAATGCTATTTTTGTGTGAAAATTCTCGATTTTATTTTTTACATTTTTAACTTTATAATGCTATAACTTATTGAAAAGTGTATGGATCAACACAATTTTTTTATGAGAAATAATATTTTTTAATAATCTCTCTTTCATTTGACATACTTTATTTTAATCAGGATATTAATAAGGAACTAGCATATCATATAGCTTTTGGAATAATCCACCAATTTTTTAAAATTAAACACTATCTAAAGATTTGCATCGAAGCGTTTTTTTTTTATAGTGATTTTAATCACTGTCAGATATCATTATACTTGATCCAACTATGCCACGTCACTACTGTGCCGCGACCCCCCTGTGCTGGGTTTTTTTTTTTTTTTTTTGAAACAAATAATAAGAAATACTATTATAACAAAATATAAAACTGTAAAAAATATTAAAAAAAAAAATTAAACGTAAAATATTTACTGGATCAATAGTTATAATAAATGTCAAAACCTAGAGTAATACTTCATACACATGAAGTATTTGTATAGGCGGCAGGCACGGTGGCCGTTAGCGAGCATGTCGCGCTACGCGCGGCTTGCCACGTGACCAGGCCACGCCATGTGCTAATGCTTAGCGTGCGGACTATGACGGGGTAACCTCTGCAAATGTCGTCGTTATCGGAAAGAGAAGAGTTCTACTCTTTCGAGCAAGCACCAAGCCGCGGTGTACTGTCGGGGGAAGGTGATAACTTATAAATACACGCTTTATAGTGTTTATTATCAACAGTTCGGCGGTACGGATCTAATAGAAAGCAATACCGTAATAACATGTACGCATAATTTGTTTCACTTTTTCAGAAAACAGAAAAATGGAACCGTTAAAAATAGACGTCTCGATAAAACTGAACAACGCCAAAAAACTGATGGACAACAGAATGAAATCGCCTACCATTATACATTACAGGGAGGGTTCTGTCAGTCACTTGAGAGTCGTCTCAGGGAAACCAAATGGAACTATAGATCACGTCGCCAATCAAATCGGTTCGTATACCAACTGCGAGGCAACAAACGAAGAAATAAATTTCACAGAAATCTCCGCAGGTGAGGAAATACGAGAAGAAATTGCGAGAGTTGACCACGGAGTTAGACTCAAACGACGAAAGTCAGAATTTTATTCTGACTCGGAAACCACAGACTAATATCATGCAGAACACAAAGCCGGATTGTCTTCGCAGTTGGACGGAATAGTTGTGTTTGATCAGAGAAGAAATTCTGAAATTAAAAAGGGGCGAGGTGGTAGAAGTAATACAAGGAAACCACCGTTCGATTCGGTGATGATTTCTCAGATAGCTCGCGTGTTGCTATTTCTGAACGAGCAGGAGACTCGGATTCCTCTGGGAGTAGTTTTACTAGTTATTTGGTTTCTCGAAGAGGATTACAAAATACTATCTCCGAAAGTGTGGACGTTGCTAGAAAACTTACCGCAGCCCCTGGTCAGTATCGAATTAGAAGAAACGGACAATTCGTTTCAGCAAAGCATGGATATTTTGCTGGGCAAACTGCAGGAAACTGGAAAAATATTCCATGCTTGCAACTAGTACAACTTCTAAGGACGGAAGAGATCGTTACCGGAGTTGTGTTATTATGCCCTATAGACCTGGCGGAGTTCGAAGATGTGTTGATGAGCTCACAGACAGGGTCCTTCGACACAGTATATCCGTCTGTAGGCTAGACTGCGCAATCCTTTTTGCTACACACGACGACCACATACATGTCATGCACACCTGCAAAAGTACAAACGGAGCTTGTCAGTGTGCATGGTTACAAGCGTCGGCATTCAGCAGGCGATTCCGACGACCTGAACCCCGAAGACGAGTTTAAGTCTCTTATCTCATAAAAACAGATTGGACGGCAATCTTGGTGAGTACTAATAGCAGATCAAAAACTGACGAAAGCGACCCTGAGGCAAATCAAGAATAGTGGCGACGAGTACAAAATAATCGCCAAACGAGGAAAAAATTAACGAAATAAGAATCCGTTATAAGAAATAAATTTGATACACTATTGCAAAATTATCCAACTTGCCCACCTGAAATGGTATTCGATGCCTTTTTAGATTTGCATCCTCAACACATTATATGCATAAATTCTCTAAAAAAATGGTGCACAATACTAAACTACTGGACTATGGAGGATTACGTAATACTATATTCGAATCCGTCGTGTTGTCCATATTTCAATTCGTACCAGTATAGTGCGCACACGTCCGTTATTCTGTTGAATTTTAATGCACTAAAAATGTTTACTTTATTTTGCTTAAATTAGAATAGTAAATTTTAATGTGTATTTTAAATTTTTATTTGCCTAAATAATTTTTTTTTTTAGTTCTGTTACAGTCAACAATCACAAATGATTATAGTTTGTATGGAGAAAAAGATTATATTCTTAATAATGGTCCAAATTCAAATAAATATACAAATAATGATTTTAAAGGTAAATTATATTGTTTATAGTTAAAATAACTATAAAAAATATAATTTAAAAAAAAAATTTCTTTATAAGATGATACTTCAGTTCAATCAGATACCAATAAAAAATCACTGGACATGGTCTTTTCATTTTTGATTGATAAATGCCAAGATTACCCTTCAGATCCATATTTATTCAAAAATATTACGTTGTCGAAGGCATTAATTAGAGCTCTTATTGAAGTTGGTCCTTGTCAGCAGGAATTTAAAAAAAATTCAAATTTTCAAAAAATGAAAAAGGTAACTGTTTTAATCCAGACTGGTATGATATTAAATCAAGATCTGGTTTCCATTTTAAAAGACATTGGCTAACATTTTCTCCTAAAAGTAACAAAATGTACTGTTTTTCTTGTTTTTTATTTCACACATTATCAAAACATAATTCTAATTGGTCTGACCCTGCCGAAGGAGTGGATAATTTTCGTAAAGGACTAGAAAAAATTATCAAACATGAGACATCTAGTGATCATATAAATACTGTAAAAGAATTTTTAGTTTTAAAAGCACGGAAACAAAATGATAATACAATTATACATAACTTAATGGGAGCAGAAAAGTCTGAAAAAGAACATAATTAGAGAACATTTTTTGTTTTGAAGAGTTACCAGTGGCTTCCGCAAATAACTTTTTTGATGTTCTTAAAAAATGTTTTAAAAAATATGATTAAGATTTTTCTATGTGTAGAGGTCAATCGTATGATGGTGCTAGTACAATGTCTGGCCGTTATTCTGGTCTACAATTAAAGTCAAAGAATTATCACCCCTTTCTTTGTACATTCATTGCTGTGCTCACAATTTAAATTTAGTTTTAATTGATTCTATTAAATCTTCCATCGATGCAGTTTCCTTCTTTGGTACTTTAGAATCATTGTATATTTTTTTAACTAGCAGTTTTCCTAGATTGCACATGTTGAAGAAGAACAAAAAAAACAAGTGGAAGGCATTGTTTTGACATTGAAAAAACTTTCAGAGACAAGGTGGGCTAGACATAAACGTGCTGTAGATGCAGTTTATTTTAGTTTACCTGCAATTGTTAAAACATTAAAGAAAATTAGCAAAGGATAAATTCCTAATACAAAACAAAAAACTATTTCTGAAGCTCAGGGTTTACTTTTACATATAATAAATTTTAAATTCAGTTTTTTTTTAATTATGTGGAAAACAATTTTAGACAAAATACATATTAACAAATTATTTACAGAACTCTTCAATTAATCTATTAACAGCTCATAGCATGATTCAAGCTTGTTTTACTGATATTGACTCTATGAGAACAATTGAAGTATCCATGGAAGTTAAATAAAAGGCAATAGGTTATGCAATGGATTTGACGGTAGAAAGTAGTTTGATGAACCTAGATCTAAAAAAAAAAAACCCCTTTTTAGTGAAAGTACAGAAGTTCAGTTGATGAACGACTTAGGATCAATACTTATTTTGTCATTTTAGATGCATTTACCAATGTTTTAAAATATCGCTTTGAAGATTTTTCGAGTATCGTAAGAAAATTTGAAATCCTTGATCCAAAAAAATCTTTTGAAGGTAGATCCAATAATGAAATATAAGTTGAACCCCTTATAGAACATTCTACATTTTATCAAGTAGATGTTGAACAAGAAAATCTTATTTTGGAGTACAAGTCGTTTTGTTCTATTTATAATCAAATAATTACAGAAATAAAAAATAAAAAAGCATTTGACAATATGTTAAAATTCATAATAGAAAATGATATGAAGTCTTCATATATCTGTTATTAATAAATGGGAAAGTGATTTCAACACCAAACCTCCATCAAAAAGAAACATTTATAAGGTTATAACAAAGTTTGAAAGATTTGGAAGTGTTGCAGATGCGTCGAGAAGTGGATGACCGGTTAGTGCAACGACATTAGAGAATCTGGAAAGGTTTGCTACGCTTTTAGTAGAAAATCCCCAAACATCTTCAAAACGAAGAAAGTTATCTCTCGATCTTTCTCATACACCCTATCGTAGAACTGTTAAGAGATTGAAATTTAAAGTGTACACTCTTCGTTTAACTCGTAGCTTATTAGAAGATGATCCTGATCGTAGACTCGAATACTGTGAAATAATGCTTGACGAATTCCGCAATCATGATGAAGAAATCTTCAATAATTGAATATTTCTAAACACGATATAATAATTATATCGTGTTTAGGGACGAAGCACAGTTCAAGTGGAATGGACTTGTGAACAGGCACAACAGTGTTTATTACGATACAGTAAAATCGCATATTACGTTTGAAAAACAGTTAAGTTCGCGGCGCTTACAAAGGGGGTTCGCGAAAATAATATTGTCATGGGGGAATTTTGAATAGCCAGAGGAAAATTACCGAGAAAACCGTAATAAACATCAGATAAATATTCTGAACAACTAAATTTTAATCAACTTTTAAAAGGGGAAATTCTTTTTCATATTATTTCAGAAGTTTTATCTAAATTTATGCAGATCTGTAATCTCTTTGTGGACATAATATTATGTATAATACATGTATATTAACTCAAAAAAATTTGAATTTTTAAATGTTTATATCTAATAATAAACAATAAAAATATTGTTTATATATATATATATAATATTGATGATACGCCCGCATGAACAGGTACGAAAATCCAAAAATTATACAGGAAAATAGTGTTGTCGGCGAGTGTTGAGCGGGGTGGGGTGAATGCGTTACGACAGTCTAGTCCAGGGATGGCAAATAAGTGGCACGCGTGCCAAGTTTAACACGTATGAAGTTTTCGATGGCACTCGAAAAACTTTCATTTGTCCATACATATTTATAGATTTTTAAGTAGGTAACATTCAATAAATGAATTATCAATAGCACATATTAATAATCTATAATTCACAACGACGTAATGTTATTTTATCTTTATTATTTTAATATATAAATTATATGTTCTAATGTAGTGGGACATTAGATTTAAGAAAATTACTAGAAGTATGTGGATAAATTAGAATTATATAATCAGTTTTCGTTCGTGTATTGAAGGAATACGACAGCGTGCGAATTTTACGTTATTAGTATATTAAAAATGTCACATACAAAAAAAACAAAAATTACACGATGTTCGAAATTTTTTACCATCATGGACAATTGAATATGGCTTTATTAAATATGGAGATAAAAGTCGATGTGGTCTGTACTCTGAAGTTATTGTATCTCGGACATTTTCTATCTAACGACATTTTGAAACAAACCACAAAGTAATTTCTGAGTTAAATATTGCCGAAAGAAAAGAAGTTATTTCTCAACGCTGAAGGCAATTGAAAACCAGTCTAATTTGTTATGTAAATTCGTAAAAATCTCTAATAATATCACTGAAGCAAGTTTCAAAATTTCTCATTTGATTGTGAAACATTCAAAACTATTTTGTGAGGGTGAGTTTTTAAAAACAGTCATGTTAAAAGCTGCTCCTAGTTTGTTCCAAAATTTTAATAATAAAGATAAAATACTTCAAAAAGTTCAAGAATTACAACTAAGTAGAAATAAGAATTTTAAAAATGACCGTCAATATTTCTGGTCAACTTCAGTCTGATATTAATAGTTGTGATTTTTTTTTCGATTTGTTTGGACGAAACAACTGATATAAAGTCATCTGCTAAATTAGCAGTATTCGCACGTTTTTCAAGTGGGAATGAAATGCGCGAGGAACTTTTAAAATTAGCTGATATAACGGAAAGAACAAGAGGTACAGATGTTTGTGATATTGTCGTCAATGAATTAAAAAAGCTTAACATCAATTTAAAAAAAATTATCTCTGTCACGACAGATGGAGCACCCAATATGACTGGAGCACAAATAGGTTTTGTTAAGTTATTTGAAAAGCATGTTGAACATCCAATAATTGGATTTCACTGCATTATACATCAGAAAATGTTGTGTTCCAAAATTGGTACTAGTAATTTAAAGGAATTGTCAGAACAAGTTAATAAAATTATTAATTTTATAGTTACTCGTGATATACATAAAAGACAAATTAAAAAACTTTTAAATGATGTTAACTGTGAATATGATACTCTTTTAATGTGCAATAATGTACGTTGGCTAAGCCGGGCCGTATCGTTAGACAGATTTGTAAATTGTTTGGACGAAATTCGCCTATTTTTACATGATAATAAGACTGAATTTAAAGAACTTTATAATACAGAATGGCTAACAAAATTGATGTTTTTCACAGATGTAACATTGCATTTAAATACTTTGAATAAAAATGACGTGGTAAAACAATTGAAGTCATGTTAGGATTAATAAAAGGCTTTGATATTAAATTAGATAAGTTTATTAATGATGTTAAAACTGGAAAATTTCTATACTTCCCGAAACTGAAAAAAATATTGGGGGAAGTGGACATTTTTGAACAATCAAATTTGGATTTTACCAATGAATTTTCAAATATTCTTGGTGTTCATAAAAAGAAGTTTTCACAAAGATTTCATGATATTAAAAAAATTGATAAAAATTATTAACTATCCAGATTTATTTGATATGCAAGATTTTGACAATAACCTTCTTAATTGGATGGAATTAGAAAATTTAGAAATTTAGTTAATCGATTTATAAACTAATCCAATTTGGAAACATAAATTTGTAAATATGCGAGAGAGTATCGAAAAATTGGAACGTCATCGATTACAGAACGAAGAAACAAATTGCTGTGTTGACATAATATTAGAAGTATGAAATAATATTCCAGATACCTTTTATTCCGTCAAAAATATGGCGATTTCATTGTTAACGATTTTTTCTTCAACTTATGTTTGCGAGAGTCTCTTTTCTGTATTAAATCATACAAATTCAAAGACTAGGAACAGATTAACCAAGGTAGATTCAGCAGCATGTTTGCATTGCAAGCAACAGCATATCAACCAGACACAAAAAAGCTTTCGAGCAATATGAAACAAAAGGTTTCTAACAAATAATAATAATAATAATAATTTAATAATTTTAGCTTCGATGCGAAGCGGAGAAGGTATTAATTTTACTATGATGTGTTTTTTTTTTTTTT